CCCTTTCCAAGCATCATGTTCATCAAGTTGTCGCTGTGTCTACGAACCCTGGGCGAGGGGGAAAAAGGTGGCACGGACAACCCCACGGGCCTCTCCTCATGCATCTGCTGCACTCATGATCACCCCAAGCCCATGCCTGGGTGAGGTGGGGAATTAGCCCCCCAACCCATGCACAGCTGCCCTGCCCTGCCAGGAGATCCAAGGAGGGAGACAGCTAGCCTAGTGCAGGTACAGGGCTGCCTGCACAATTACCTTCACCCAGCTGGTAACACCTCTCAGGCCTTGCTGGATGGGGCTGGGTGATGGGGCACAGAGGACAGACACGTCAGACAAGGAGGACAATCTGGGACTGCTGCGGTAAGCGGTGTCACACACCCCAGAGCAGGACGATGGAGGGCTGGAGACCCAAGGGACCAGGGGGACGAGCGGGAGAAGGCAGGGCTGCTCGGTAGGCATCAGGGCAGCCCTGGGGACAGAAGCCCGCCGAGCCCACGGACAGCACCGGCCCCAGAGCACGGGGGCACGAACAGGCAGAGACCCTGTCAGACTGGGAACAAAAAGGGTCCTGCCGGTGAGAGCAGAGCAGCGAGGGAACAGCTGCCGTAGGAGCCCCCGCTAGGCTGAAGCCTGAGGAGGGGGAACGGGACCACCCTCGAGAGCAGGGGGCAAGACGGGCTGTGCCCAAAGGGCCCCATCCAGCCCTGCCCTCCTCAGCTCCGTGGAAGTCCTGTTGGGCCATTGAAGCTTTGCAGAGGCCGCAGCTTGGCTTTGCTTCCAGCTCCCCCTCGCGTGGGAACGGGGCAGCACAGCTGACACGACCCCGTCCCCACGGCTCCGCACGGCCCAGGGTGGGACGCGTCGAAGGCGCTGGCACCTGCAATCTCGGAGCGGGAGTCCCCGCTGGGCACTTCTGGGGACAGAGCAGACCCCGGGCATCTGCCGTCCTCGCAGCCTAGTTGCTGGCGTGAGCGAAGCAAGGGGCGCTCGGGAGAACCAGCGAGGAAAAAGCCCAGCCTGCTGCCGGGACATCTGGGCAGGGAGCTGGCCCGGCCATTGCAAAGGTTTCTGGCTCCCTGCCTCAAGTCCCAGCCGAGGGCTTTGGAGGGAGAGCAGCCAATGCCAGATGCGTTGCTCAGCAGCCTGGCACCGAGCAAAGCCGATCACAGAGGCGTGTGCTGCCACGCAGCCCATGCTGCCCTAGCCGCCTGCATTGCGTTTGCTCAGGGATTGTATTTCCTGTGTGTTTAAGAACTGGCCCAGTCATTTGCTCAGGAGCACCATGCTCCCACCGCTAGGTTGCAGCTACCTCTGGGGTGAAGCACGTCAGCACCCGCTGAA